TTCTAAAAACAAACAAAAATAAAAACATAAACATGAGCTATTACCTTGCTCCTATTAAAATGGCTATTATTAAATGTCATAAAAAGGGAGCTGTGCACACTGTGGGTGGGAATGAAAATTAGTACAGCCACTAGGGAAAACATAGCGAGGTTTCTTAAGAAATTAAAAATAGGGACCAGCAGGGGGTGTAATGGCTAAGGCACTGAACTCCCACATGGCTGACCACAGTTCGAGTCCTTGACTTAGAGGCTTGAAACTGACACAGGCACGTGTGTGTATGTGCCCTGGATCCAGGGAGGAAAATGGAAGAGAAAGTATTGTGTGGCCATCCTTCCTGGGGGGGTGAATTCTCACTTTCTCTCTCTCTGCTTCTCTGTGTCTACAGAGAATGCATGCACCCTATAGCAGAAATCTCTTTTAAAAATAGAACTACCATCTAATTCAGCTATCCTGGATCTAAAGGATATATACCTAAAAGAAATGAAACCAGGTGTGTCAACGTAATATCTGCTCATTCATGTGCATTGCAACATGATCCACAGTGGCCACAATGTGAAAGCAACCTAAGTGTCCGTCAACAGATAAACAACACACAGTGTCCATACACACAATGGAATACTATTCGGCTTTAAAAAAGAAGGAAACCTACCATTTGTGACAACAAAAATGAACATGGAGAATGTTAAGTGAAATAAGCCAAGCACAGAAAGACAAATACCCCATGAATACCCTTACGCATGGAATGTAAAAAAGTTGATCTCATGGAACTATAGAGTAGAAAATGGTAATCCAGGAGCTAGGATGACTGGGTGGGGGAGTGAGGAGATGGTGGCTATAGGATATTAGTTTAGCTATACCAGAGGAATAAGTTCGAGAAATCTATTTTACAACATGGCAACCATTGCTAATGATGATGCAACATACTACATTCTTTAAAAAATACTAAAAGTGGATATTAAGTATTCTCGCTACAAAAAGAATAACTACGTGAGGTAATCCATATGTGAAACAGCAAGAATTAGTCATTCCACGATGCGTGTATACTCCAAACATCATGTCATACACAATACATACATATAATTTTATGTCAGTTAAAATAAATAATAAACTGAGTCAGCCTCATAGCCTAGTGGCTACTGTAGTTTGACTCCCAGCCCGGCAGCTTGAAAAACACCAGGTGCGTGTGGGTCCATGTCCCAAATCCCAACTGGATAGAGAAACGGGGGAGAAGGGATTGCAATGTGATCACACTCCACAGAGGTTCTCTCTCTCTCTCCCTCTCTCTTTCTCTTTCTCTCAATCTCTCTCTCACACATGCATCCTTTGGTAATTTAAATAAACAAATAACTGTAGCTTGCTATACTACAAAATTGTCATGAAGGACTTCACCCCAGAAACTTGAGAATGGTTCAACATGAGAAAACCTTAGCCTTCTTTGAGTAAACTGCCAGGCCCAGAGTCTCTCCTGTGTTAATGTAGTAACAAATTTAAGGGGAAAAAATATCTTGGTCACAGATGCAGAAAATGCATTTAGTAACATTCAGGGATCATTCACAATTTAAAAAGAAAAACACAACACAAAGATCTGAAACAAATACAGCAGAATGCTACCAACCCTCCAGGTGTGAGTTGATGGGTGATTGATATTTTCTTTACTGTTCCATATTTTGGGAATGAATCATTATTTTTAAAGGAAAAAGGGGGAGGGGACCTATAAACATGCATTAGGGATGGAAACAGGGCTGTTTTGAGGTCCTAACAATGAAAGAATGTTCTGGGGAAAGCACAATGAGTGAACAGCTGCTGGAGGCTAGCGAGGCTCTTCCTGTCAGCTCGGAGTGTGTGGTCCACCCCTACCCACACTTCAGACCAGGTAGGGCTGGAATAGAGGGTTCCAGTCTTACCTGCACCTCAGCACTTAGGAGAAGGGTGAAATAGATTCCTATCACCTGCCCCGCCTCTGGCTAGAACTCTAGTTGTCCCAGAGCAAAGCGGAAGGGAAAAGAGGCCAGCGTGTGGCCACCCCACCTACGGGTGGGTCCCGATCCCAACTCCTACAGAGACTTTGCCTTGCAAGAGATGGGGCACCCCGAGACGTTGCCTCGGCAACTTCTTGGTTTTGGTCACCTGCTGATCATCCTTTGATGCCAGTGCTACCATCCAGGGCTGGTATATACCAAGCCCCTTCCTGTCCAGCCAGGAGGCAGAGCCTGGGTCCCCCCACACAGTCCCAGACCTCAGTGTCCACAACTCACTCAACACCTAGCACTCGGATCTGACTCTGGTCTCCTGACCTCAGCTGCAGCAGGACACAGGTATTTGTGTGAGAAAGGTATTCTGAGCTCCACGCCACCTGGTCAGGTAGTGAGGAGCCTGGCCTGAGGCTCCATCTCTGCGTGACCGTCACTCCCACCTCAGTAAAATTCTTCCCTAGTTCCTTTACAGGATCTCGGTGCACATCTAAGTAAACACATGTGGCAGTGCCATGCTGTATAGATGGACCATCTGTGACAGGCGAGATATAAACAGGGATGAATGCATAGTGGTTTAACTTATGGAGGATGCCACCAATATGAGGAGCCCATGTGCCCTCCCAGGCCCTGTCTCCTCCTTTGCTGCCCAACATGACCACCACCCTCAACCTGCTTTTCTTTACAATGTTATACATGCATGTGTGTCTTCAATAGAATGGCTTAATTGTGCATGCATATGTATGTAAATACATATCTAGTCACACATCACTTAATGACAGGGATATGCCCTGAGAAATGGATTGTTAGGCAACTTCACTGGTGTGTGAACATTGCAGAGTGTGCTCACACAAACCTAGACTAGATGGTGTAATCTACTCCACAACTAGGCCATATGGCATAGCTTTCTGTACTCTTATAAGACCACCATTGTATCCACCAGGGACTGAAATGTCATTGCAATATATGACTGACTACACACACACACACACACACACACACACACACACACACACATAAAATCATGTTATAGATACTCTTCTGGGTGCCTTTTCCAGCCTTATTCTTAGATTCACCTACGCGGAGAGGCCACACATCGTGGTTCCTTCACTCCCACGGCTACAGTGTCTGCTGTGTAAACGCACTGCACTGCTGCCCGAGATGCACTGCTGCCTCCAGCACCCGCTCTCACCAATGGCCCTCTCTGTGAGGTGCTTCTCTAAGGCACATACTCAAGGCTGAGTCTGGGAGTCACAGACTCTGCCCATGTGTTTATTAGATCGAAATAGTTTCCCCAAGTCCCATCGGCAGTGTATGGGTAGAAATAGTGTTTTGTTGTTGTTTTTGATTTAGGTCTCTTGCTGTAGGGAGAGAGAGACAGAAAGAGGGAAAGTGAGAAATCACCCCCTGGGGGGCAGCCACAATGCAAAGCCTTCTTCTCCATTCTCCTCTAGGGACTATAGGCACACGCACATGTACCCAGCATGATTTTTAAGCCACCGGGTCCAGCACCCAAAACAAGGTCAGCCATGTGGGAGTCCAGCACCTTCGCCACATGCCACCTGCTGGCTCCAGAAATAGTGTTTTTATGAAAACAAACATTAGAGAGAGGAGATGGCTTGCCCTACCTCGAAACTGAGAGCGCATTCTCCTAAAGGGGCAGGTTAGTTTTTTGTTTTGTTTTGTTTTTGTTTAAGGCTTTAAAAAAAAAATCTTTATTTCTTCCAGAGAAGAGAGAGAGAGACAGGCGCCCCCAACAGTCTTGATGCCACAGTCTACTCCCAGTTTCAGCCAGCCAGGATCACGAGCATGTACAGGAGACCTGAGACCTTCCCACACACCTTCAGCAACAAGGAACACAGCATTACTGCTACAACATCGCAGCTGGCCGGCAGCTGGTTTCAACACAGTCATCAGGAGAGGTGAAAAGGAGGCGAAGGCGGGGAGGAGGACCTGGCCTCTGAGTCTAAGGATGCTCTGGAGAAATTTCCCAAACACAGAGTTTCTCAGGGTGACAATTAAACAAATGCAAAAGGCTGCTCTAAAATGCATGACAGTTTGGCAAAAGCCCAGAGATGACCCCAAGGCATCTGGGAGGCTCTTGGGATTAGGCTCCTTTGGCAAGGCAAGCCCACAGGGAACCTGGGGCTAGAGGCAGTCATGAGAGCTGGGCCGTACTTACAGTTGTGCCTGCTTCTCTGCTAGTTCTTTGGTCTTCTCCTACAATTATAAAGAATAATAAAAGCAAATATGAGAAAAACAGGATAATACAGAGAGATGGTCGCATACACATTATGCCATGTAGTGAAAAATACGACATGGTTGTCCCAGATATCCTGTGCTAAGCTGGCTGTTTATTCTGAGCTATGTCGGAAAGAACATTTTCCATTTGACTTAGATTTCTTCCCATTCCACTACTGAGTATGACCTACATGTTTCCTACAACAGAAATATTTCACAACCCCCTAGCTTGCATAACTGGCCATTTAAAAAATATTAGGCCAAACATTTTATAAATACTGTTGGGTCGTCAGAGAAGTCATGATATATTTTTCTATGTTTTTCTATGCAAAAATGCATCATGACTTTCCTGATGACCCAAGAGAATGAAGATTCTACTAACACTTTCTTTTAAAATATGATTTTAACTGTCAGATGGTATGTGGCAGAGAGGCAGAGACAGAGAGGGGGGGAGAAAGCATCCACAGTGGGGCATGGTCACACCCTCACACACCGTCTCTTTTCTCCATGTCTCTATTCTGTCAGGATTTCGGACAGGCACACATACTTGCCGTGTTTTTCAAGTCACCAGGACCAGGATTTGACTATGTGGGATCCGGTTCCATCAACCACCAGGCTATGGGGCTACTAACAATCTTATTGTTAGGCATCATAATTACATCCTTAAATGCTGTCTCTTAAAACAAAAATTTTTGCTACAGAGCACGCGTGCTTACTGAAGAGAGAGAGTGAGAAACCACCCCCAGGGTCATGCCAAAATCCCTTCTCCATTCTGCTCTTAGGATTTTAAACATGAATGCACACATGCCCCATGTATTTTTTTTTTTTTTTTGGAGAGGTTTTCACTACAGGGCACGTGCGCTCGCCAGACAGACAGAGAGAGACATAGAGACAGAAAGCAAGAAATCACCCCCGAGAGGGGATGGTCACGCCACAATCCCTTCTCCTCCATTCTCTTCTCGGGATCTTGGGCACGCATGCACACGCGCCTGGCGTGAGTTTTAAGCCACCAGGTCCGGGATGCGAACCGCGGTCGACTACGTGGGAATCCAGCAATGTAGCCATTACACTAACTGCTGGTTCCCACCCCATGTATTTTTTCAAGTCACTAAGTCTAGGACTTAAACTGCACAGTGATCATGTGTGATCCAGCTATCCTAACCATGATATCACCAGCTGGCCCTTTAAGTGCTATTAAAAATAAAGCTTACTTAGGGACCAGCAGATGGTGTGGTGGTTAAGGCATTGGACTCCCACATGGCCAACCACGGTTCAAATCCCAGACCCGGAGATTTGCTCTCTCACTTTCCCTTTCTCTCTCTATGTGTCTCTTGCTGGTCAAATGAAAAAAAAAAAAAAAGATAATAGCAAATAAAATAAGTAGTTCTTTTTTACTTATTTCTTCCATGAGAGAGAGAGAGAAAGGCACCCTCAACAGTGGCTATACCACCACCTAACCCCAACACACACATTTCTAAATGCCAGTCACAGGAATCATGAGTAAATAGGCTTATGTGCATGAATATTTACACATAACTTTAAATTTCCCATCAGGGACACAGGTTCAGCCAACATTTTCTGTGCTGTCATTATTCTTGCTTTAGCACTTTTTATCTGACTAAACATAAGCCTGATTCCTGACTTTGAACAGCAGTGTGAACCAGCACATGCCACCGCTGCTGGGCCTTAAATGTGGACTTTAACAGGAGAAATCGGTCAGGTTTCTGCATAGCCAAATGTTTTCCCTTTCTCATTTCTGCCTAGGATCGCAGGGCCAGGATTAGCGAGGGTCTCTGAACCACGCTGAATAACCACAAGTCTTTGGGTCCTTGAGAGTTAAGCCACAGTGTGAGGGAGTGGGAGTGACGGGGATGCAGCCAGGCGGCTTATCCAGAGCTGGGATGCCCATCAGGCCCTCCAACAGTCCAAGATAATCCTCCTGGAGCAGTGCTGCCTCCCAGGAGGTGCTAGACGGTGCCTGGAGCCATTTGTGCATGTGCTGGGGTGCCCCAAGCACCTTGTGGGCCGAGGCCAGGATGTGTACAAGGCACAGGACAGACCCCTGCCCACAACATCCAAGGGACTAACGTACAGAGATCCTGTCCCGAAGGAAAGTTGGTCAATGTGAAAACGTCAGCTGGCCCTGCGCCTCCACTACCAAGCTGGGCCAACTCAGATGGGCAGCAGCTTAAGACGCCCCAGTGGGAGCTTAGGACACTTGCCCTGTGGGGGCCTTCCAAGTCTCTTGGGCAGCGCCTGTGAGAACTCTCGACTGCACCTTCACCTAACAAAGGCCTGGGGTACCCCATTCCCAGGCAGGTGATAGCACCGGGCTGGGCTGGACCACATGGGTGGGGGATACAGGCTCAGAGCCCAGGAAGTGACTGCTGTCCTCCGCCTCCCCACCCCTCACAAGGGCCAAGTGCTGCAGCAGGTGCTCTGAAGTCTCCAAGGGGCCTGGGGTGCAGGCAGGCAGGGAAGGCCTGCCCTTAGCCCCTCTAGTAATTCCCAGGCAGGTGATAGCACCGGGCTGGGCTGGACCACATGGGTGGGGGATACAGGCTCAGAGCCCAGGAAGTGACTGCTGTCCTCCGCCTCCCCACCCCTCACAAGGGCCAAGTGCTGCAGCAGGTGCTCTGAAGTCTCCAAGGGGCCTGGGGGTGCAGGCAGGCAGGGAAGGCCTGCCCTTAGCCCCTCCAGTACCATGGGGGCACCAGAGCTGTGGCACCTCTGCCACAGCTAGAGGATGCTGTGGGCATAGGCTACATCCAGACCCCTGTGCCCCCACACCACTGACCCAGACTGTCTCACAGATCACTCTGGCTATTCTGGCTGTGACCAAAGGCCACATCCACCTGTTCCCCCTCCCTATTCCCCCACACCACTGACCCAGACTGTCTCACGGATCATCCTGGCTATCTTGAGCAGGAGCTGTCCGAATGTGCCCGGCTCGAAGTGGGTGGCTGAATGCTGGATGCAGAGGCAGAGCAGAAAGGCAGGTGTCAGCTTGTGGTCATCACCCCCTGGTTCGATCAGCGTCATGATCCTCTGCAGCAGTGCATCCTCCACGTCAGGCTCAAACTCAAGGTGCAGCTGCCGCCTCCGGGGCAGAGTAGTCAGCGTAGAGGGGGTCCGGGCCCTGAGCGCAGCACCGCACATCCTGCAGCTCTGTGGCACGGCCCGGAGGCGGGCCAGGGCACGGGCAGGCAGGGGTTGGGCCTGTGCAGGGTCCTTGAACAGCAGCAGGTAGTAGAGGCCCAGGGAGAGCAGGTCTCCATGATGTAGCACCACAGTCCTCCGCCCCACCTCAGAGAAGTTGACTGAGATGGGCGCCCCGGGGATGGGCTCCAGCACCAGCCTCTCCCTGGCCTGGCCGCTGCCCGAGAGCTGGTGCCGGCGGATGGTGCAGTGCAGGGGCAGGATGTCGGGGGCCGAAAGGCTGATGCTGGGCTTGCTGGAGGGGGTCCGCTGGCCTACCGTGTGCCGGTCCCGGTTGAGCACGTACACCAGGCTGTCCTGAAACACAGACAGACAATCAGGGCAGGACTGGTGCAGCAGGAAAGAAAAGGGATGGAAAGTGTCCAGTTCTGTGGTTACTAAGTCATGTGCTGGGACTCCTGTCCCCAGGGTCTCTCCATATCATGGGCCAAACCCACATCAGAGCCCCTGGCAGCTCTGAGGGACCTGCCTTTGCTGCCCTAGCCTGACTCAGGGGAGCCTCAGTGGCACATGGAGACCCAGGAACGACCCAGCTTTGAGACAGTGAAAGGCCAGGGGAGAGCCGACCTGGAACAGCCAACTCTCCCCGAGGTGCTCCCCATAAATCTGTGTGAGCAGCGTTCCTGCTGTCCAGCTCAGCAGAAAAGACATCTCCTAAGGCTTGGGCACCAGCAGCCCTGACACTTAATGTGCTCGTGGACGAGGGGCGGGAGAGAAGCTGAACAAACAAAGACACCAAGCAGGGAGTCCACTGAGGGCAAGATCCCTCTAGCCCAGACACTGCTGACGTAAATGGCAAGAAATGGCTCTGGGGTGGGCACGGGGTGGAGTAGGCTTTTTTCTGGGCCTTCTTTGAGCATGCAGTCACCAGTAGTGACTCAGTGTCCACCACCTCCTGGGCAAGGAAGCAGACTGACCCTGGTCACCTGCCCACTCTTCCTCCAGGCCAGGACTGGACATGGCCTAAGAAGCCACCTGGACAGAGGTAGGGAGTCTCCATGAGGGGCCTGGCACCAAAGGCAGAGCACTCTGGGCTCAGATAAGTGAGAAGCCCCTCCTGTGCCTCCTGTCATTACCTGGAGGGGCCAGCACAGGGCTCCCCACCCACCCTGTAGTCATCGCAGGACTAAGTCCATGGCAGGAGAAGCCCACATCTCAGTCGACTTCTGCTGACCCCTGTGGCCGCTCGCCTAGGCAGGCAGGAATTAGAAGGGGAGGAGGCTCACGTGCTGCTGGCTGTATCCCTGCAGGAGGAGCAGGTGCGGGCACTGGTAGAGGGAGTAGCGCATGGTGTCCTGGCCAGGCTCCTCAGGGGCCTGGGAGGCGTCAGGCAGGGTGGTGGCTGGACTCAGGCTGGTCTCGCTGACCGTGCGCCGCAGCCGGGGCCGAGGGGGGCTCCCGCCACCTCCTGAGGCCAGGAGTGGAGTCCCCTTCGCACGACTCCGTTGCAGCCTCCGGGCTTGGGCATTTATCCCTGAAAAAGCAGCACCGCAGAGTGAACAGTCAGGGATCTACTGAGCCCAACTCCTGGCCCTCCTGAGTGCAAGTCCCACTAAGCCAATTCTGATGCCTGACACCAACTGTCCTGGAACAGCTCGTCTATGGGAGGCTTGAGGACTCTGCCTCTTTAAAGGGCCTCTTTAAAGGGCCACTAGGAGATCCCGGAAAAGTGACTCCCCAGGGTAGTCACAAACCAGGCAGTCTGACTGTCCACATCCCAAGGTTCAGAAAGGCTCACACCCAAAGACACACCTCAGCCAGCCCCACCAGCCGCACCAAAGTCCTCAGGCATCAAATGCACTGAACATTTTCCCCACGGCAGCATTAGCCTAAGCAGGCCACCCCCAGAGTTCTGCCCCATTCTCCCAGCCCGCCTATACATCAGGTGAAACTTCTCCAGGGGTAGGAGGTAGGAATGTTTTGATTAGATGAGATGGAACCAGTCATTATCCTCCCCCACTTTACAAGGAGGAAGTGGCCAAGTTGCCACATTGCCCCCGCCCACTGAGCTGCCGCCGGTCTGCTTCTGCCCCAGCACACCTATCTGCTCTCCTAGAGACTACCTCCAACACCCCCAGATCAGAGCAGGCATGCGCGCACACACACACAAATTAGTGCAGGCACACACATGCACAAACACATGCATGCCCCCAAACACTCTCACACACACACACATAAATGCATGTACACAAACACATGCACATCACATGCACACATACAAACACACAGAAACACATACACACAGAGAAACACATGCACACACATGAACACAAAGGCACAACAGGCATAATACGTAAACACGGATACACAGGTACACGAACATAAATATATGCAAGTCCACAGATACAAACACACACACACACACAAACACATGCACACACAGCCCAGAAATAACACACACCTGCTAAAAGACTTTTAAAATTTCATACTCATAAATACAGGAAGCATCCTCTAAGCTGACACTGCTGGGAAAGCTGACAGCAGGAAGGATGGAGCCCACGAAAATCCCTCCAATGTTCCCAGCTGACCTGGTGCTTTCTCTTCTGAGTCCTGCTGGGTCCCCTTTATGCAGCCTTTCAGGTTAAGCTCCGTCCCCATCTGTGGCGTCCTTTCCTCCAGCCATTCCAAACAAATCAGACAAAAGCCAGAGGAAGGGAGGCCAGCAAGCTGGCCCTTACCTGGAGCTGGCCGCCGAGCCCTGCCCTTGCAGAAGGCAGCCTGCGCATCCGCAGCCGCAGGGGGCCCAGCCGCAGTGAGGCTGCCAGGCTGGAGGCTGCTCCCGCCGCTCCTTCCTGCTTGCTGCAGAGCCCAGTTCAGCCCAGCCAAATGGCAGGTGCAGAACAGGTGGGCCCCGACCTTCTGCCATGTCCCACACACTACCCTTGCAAGAATGGCAGGCCCCACACCTTGGCCTCATCACACAACCATGCAGCCATATCTGAGAAGAAAAATAAATAAAAAGCCCAAAGAGATGTTCCAGCGCCCAGGCTTTCCCAAATCTAGGATGAGGTTGCAGGGAGGAGGCACCTCAAAATGACCTTTCAGCAGTGCTGGGCTATGGAGACAGAGAGGCTGCTTTCCTCTTAGATCCCCAGGGGTTCCCAGATGGCCTGACCACAGGCAAGCAGTGCAAGATGTTCCCTGCCGCTGTTCCCAGGGGCTGCAGTCCTGTGCAGGAGGCTTACGGCTGGCCGAACTCTCTCCTCTAGGCAGGGTTCTGCATCTAAGCCCACCCTTTCCAGGGTCCTGTGGGCTACAGCTATGCTTTCTAGCCTGCACATCAGATTCTGGCGAGCCCCATGTGCTTGGCAGAGGACCAAGGCTGCAGAGCACTGGCCCAAGGGCTGCCAGCCTATGTCTGGGAACCTGAGCATAAGACCTCTGCCAAGTAGCAGCACTTTGGGGCAGGTAAGGGGTGAGGTGGCAGCAGCCTCACTGCCACCTCTGGCATGGCCAGCACAGCTAGGGTATGCAGCAATCTAAGCATCTCCTGCTCCTTAGCTCTCTGCTGCAGGATGTCCTGGAGGACTCGCACACACTCTCACGTTCCCCACACCAGGACAGCTGCTGCAGAGCCACCCACATTAGCAAAGCCCCAGATACATTCAAGCACTCCCCCCCACCCCCAGGAGCCATTCATCCACTGGATAGAGAAACTGCAGAGGGAAAAGGGCCAGACGTGCACGTAGCTGGCAACTGGGTAAAGCAAACCGCAGAATAACATACACACTGTAACATCACTGGTTTACAGCTTCTGAAAAGAACCCCAACTGTCACTTGGTATTGCTCATGGCTTATATATAAGCACAAGTAAAAACTGTCTTTTAAAACAGAAAAGGTACACAGTAAATTCTTATTATGGCTGTTCTCCTAGGCACAGAGGGAATTGTCTAAAGTGTGGGGGGAAGGGCTCAAACTTCCTCTGATTTAACATAATATGCCATATATAATAGGCTATTCAATATTATATATAACATACAATTATTTGTATCATAATAATTTTATATCATGTTTACTTATTTTATTGAACAAAATTTTAAACAAATATACAAAATCTTTACCTGCCAACTCTGGAGAAAGGCACCCAGGTGTCAGTTAGATGCAACTGATTCTTTACACTTTATTCTATTTATTTGTTTTTTAAGATAGATTTGTGCTATAGGATACATGTATATGCCAGAGAAACAGAGAGAGAAATAACCCCTCAGTGGGATGGCCACACCACAATCCCTTCTTTTTCATTCTCTCAGGATTCTGGACACACAAACACACACACACACACACACACACACACACACACACACACACACACACCACTGTGAGTTTCAAGCTGCTGGGTCCAGGACTCAAACTGCAGTCAACCACACGGGAGTCCAGCACCTTAACCACTACACCATCTGTTGGTCCCTATACTTTCAAAAACATGTCATAAAGTGAGAATCACAGAAGTTTCAAAGGTCTCTCACTTGTGCCTGACTATGACCTGGTCCCTGTCCCAGGTCGAGGCTACAGGAGGGAGACCTTAGCACCTGTGTCTCAAGGGAGACAGTGCCCTGAGGAAGGTCTCATGCAGAAAGCTACACCCACTTTGTGTTTGCAAGTAACATGGGGACAAATTTGCAGAGCCAGGGGAATTTCACTGGGGAATTTTACTAAAACTGGGGGAAATCAGACAATTATAAAGTGAGCCCTATTAATAGCTGAGGATACACTGTTCAAATAAACTCTACAAAACTCTGAACAGAAACCTTCCTGCAAGGTTTGGGTTGAGTGTGACAGGAGTCAGGGCATGTGGGGCAGCATCACTCACCAAGTGGATTCCAGAAACCTTCAAAAGAACGGAGTGGCCCCACTGCTGGACCCAGCATGGAGTGTTCAAGGTCCTCAGACCTGACATCATGTTACTGAGGAAGAGCAGATCATGGAGTTTGCCATTTGAAGGGTATTACAGGAGGGGTCTTGCCATGAGCAAGGGCACCCTAGGGGTCCCTACACAACCATTTAAGGAATTTTGCCAACATGAAGGAAATTCCGTGATAATTACATTATGAGGAATCCATAACTTCACAACAAATTAGTTCTAATAAGAAAAATGGCAAGAGGGATAAAGCCTTTTACAGTGCAGAATGCTGGATGGAAAGTTATTCATCTTAAATAAAAATGCTGCACTTTCCCATGAGATGGAGGAGCTACACCCCACGGCTGGGGAGCCCAAACACACCCATTTCTTTTATTGACTTTCCTCCATGAGACAGGCAAGACACGCTGACCAAATTCAGCCAGAGTCAGCTTTGGCTCTAGCTCCCTCCTTTCATTCAAGTATCACTAGGAATTCTGCTCTGGTATGACTGAGTTCAGTGGGATCGGTGATTTTTACTGGGTAGGACTGAGGGATAGCCCGGAATCTGTATTTTGTAAAAGCTGTCTGGAAGGTTCCAGGACACAGAAGCCAAATAAAAAAACCACTGCCAGAACTCTCCTCATTCTCTAAAGCCCTAACCATCTACAATAATTTATTGTTTTCTTTTAGAATTATTTTATTTTATTATTTTTAAAAGAATTATTTTATTTAACTTTATTTATTTTAATTTGACCAGAGAGGGAGAGAGAGAGAGAAAGTAAGAGAGCAACCCACCAGGTCCGGGACTCAAACCATGGTCAGCCATGTGGGAGTTCAGCGCCCTTAACCACCACACCACCCACCGGTTCCTACAATAATTCCTTACAAGGAGAAAGTGAAAACCCACAGAGCACTTGGAAATCTTCAACAAGAACCTACAACATTTATTTAGTTTGCATTTCTAATTCTTCTCCAGATAAAATGTCTGTCAGTTCCTAGAGAGAAAGTTGGCAGACACGAGGCTCCCTGGTTCCCCTTATTTATCTGCTCTCTAGTGGAGGAGAAAAAGAACTCAGCACAAGAACGAAGGAGCATTTGGGTAACTGGGACTTGGGAGGCCGCTGGCTCCATGCCAGGTTGTCCATCCCGAGGACAATAGGAACCTGCCACCCAAGAGAACCTGGAACAGCACTAGCAGGCATCCTCAAGGGGAACACAAGTGAGCACACAGACCCTGACTTGGACGCTGTGACACTGGAACTGCGGACACAGCAGAGTGCTCAGAAAGTGTGACAGAGACAGTGGCAGAGCACCCGCGTCCCCTCACTGGAGGTGCTGGAGCAAGCAGCCCTGGATGAAAGCCCTGAACACGTGTTCTGCAGGGTGACCAGCTGGCTCATTATCCTAGATCAGACACTGCGAGACAATGCAGGGCCTGAGGTGTGTGTGCAGGGGGTGACATCATGGGCCACGCAGGTCTTTCACACAACACCTTCCTGTTGTCCCCACAAGAAAGTGTCTGACATACCCTCCGGGAAGAAGAGGGGATGTGGTACACTAGGGTGGCAACAGCTGGAACCTGTCACCAGAGCTCCCCGCACTGGCTCTAACCTGGCTTTAGGACAGAAAATAAA